AGAATCTCCACTGAGTAATATCCAATCTGTCTAGGCGGGGCTGATGAAAGGACATGCGGATAGGTCTCTTGTGATACAATAGTGAATAATTATCAGGACTGATTGTGAGGGTTGGATATGTAAAGGTAGATATATTGTAGCAAGCAGAGAAGTGATTAACTTTTCAGTCTAGGAGTGGTGGTCCCTGAGACCATCAAGGGAAAAGAGTAGAGAGCAGGACCCTACCCAGAGAAGCAGTGATGCCAGAAATGGAGGCAGAGACAATGATGTGGAGAGATGGAGCAGTTGGGGACTTTAGACCCAAAGAGGGAGAGGGACTTTGTGCTGATGTCTGGGGGGCAGGCTTTCAGGGTATACCCTTTGGTTGGTTGATGATACATGGAGGGGATTGTAACCATGGCAATGAACGATATACGATAGGATGAATGTAAAACTAATATTCTCCCATGTAAACTATCATATAATTCACAATAAAACATTTAAAAAAAAATAGAGTAACAATTTTTTTAAAATCAACTTTTACCTTCCTTTGAATATTGGTTCAAATTTTGTTTTCAGATGTCTAAATGTTTCTTTTTATGCTCATCAGTAAATTGTTTTGGTACACATCAAACACAAACTTTTTGAAACCTAAGACTGTTGTAGATTATTTCATAGGCAGAATCATGGCTGATTTGCAAATGATTTGCCACATAATCTACTGCCACTGATCTATTCAACAGAATCATTTCTTGTGCATGATCAATGTTGTCATCAGCCATGGTCATGGATGGACATTTTTATATAACCAGAGTATGAATAATTTTTGTCTTACCCTTATACATATGCCTACAGGTCAACTTGGGAGCAGTAGCTCTGTAGGATAAACACTGGATTGTGAACCACAAGGTCGGTGGTTCAAGCCCACCAACTGCTCTGATGAGGTTTTCTGCTTCTGCAAAGATTTAAAAGCCTCAGAAACCCTATACAGAGTTGCTGAGTCAAAACAGACTCAATGACACTTAACAACAACAACAGATACACTTATACATGCATTTGCTCACATATGCCTTCTCATACACATATGTGCATACATATCTACCTCCATAACCATACTTACATTTTTTTGGCTGTTACTGTTGGTGCAAAATTGGAAATGTTATAGCATTTACTAATATTATCCATTTTTCTTGTGGAAGTATCATTTGTTCTTGAAGTCCCCTCCCTTCTTCTCCTTGTACTCAGCACAATTGATGACTTATTTATTTAATATCAGTCTCTTTCACTAGATGATAAGCTACATAAAGTCAGGGTTCATGGCTGGGTCTTCAGCTCCTAAAATGTATGCCCCATCAATATTAGTTGAATAAATCAAATGAGGTTGAATTCCCTTATGACCGAAGTAAACTAGAGGGGAAGAACAGAAACACCTCCCTTTCCTCATTTCTTTTTACAAGCAGCCAATATTTACAAGCAGCATCCCTGGGTGCCAGATAGCAGCCATGTCAATGTGAGGGACAGAGTAATAAATGAGACACTTGCAGCTGCTGATTTAGGGGAGGGGCAAAACCAATCATCATGCAGAGGCTGTGAGGGCAGGAATCTGAGTATTACTCCTGCCTGCAGTTCCAGGAGGATGGATTCCTGGTTCTGGAAGGATTCCTGTCTGCAGATGAGTGTCTGATGATGCAAGAAAGAATTGGTGAGATAGTGGCCAAGATGGATGTCCCTCTCCACTGCCGCACAGAATTTTCCACCCAGGAAGAGGAGCAGCTCAGAGCTCAGGTAGGTGCCAGGGGCAGAGGAGGACAGAATCAGGACCTCTGTGTGGACACTCAGCCCCCATCCAGGAAAGCAGCCTAGAAGAGAAGAACCCCAAGACCCACAGGCTCTTTCTGACAACAGACCAAGCTCTGAGGCTTCCATGTATCTATCAGGCACCATGAATGTATAAGGCAGGCATTATTATCCCCATTTGACAGTTGGGAAAAAGGAAGCTCATGTTGGTGAGCCTTGCCCTAAATTGCAGTTAATAAGTGATAGATGAAGGATTTGAACCCAGGTACAAGTACTGTTCTGCTGTACTTCCTGAATAGTTCTGCTACAGACTCTTGGTAGTCAGCGACCCAGAATGAACAAAGTGATTTTAATGGAGTCTATGTAAGTCTTCTACCCCAGTGGTACCAGTAATTCAGCCTGTTTCTGCTGGTTTGAGATGGATACATTGACCTCAAAGAGGAGTCTCCCACACAGTTCTTGTAACCCTTTGTGGTCTGACTTTATGAGCCTGTCTGGTCAAGACACTGATGCTGAGGAACTCCTGCCACCTGGCGGGCTTGGAGGACATTACAGTGGCCTAACGGCTTGCATTCCAGAGAGATAGCAGGCTCAAGTTGGTTCTGACTCAGAGTGACCCCATATAGGTTTCTGAGACTATAAACCAGGGGTGGAAACCCTTTTTTCTGCCAAAATTTATACCATCATTGGCAGGCCATACGCAATTATCAACCTAAAAATTGGCCTGCTACATTTGGATACAAATGGGTGTCAGAAACTTGCTCTCAGCATAGAGAAGGTAAAGTAAATGAAAGAAATGAGGAGGCAAAAGAGCTGGATAGAAAATTTCAAAAGGCAGCTTATTATGAGGAAATTTGTAAAGATTTGGAATTAGAAAATCAGAAGGGAAGAACACACTCAGCATTTTTCAAGCTGATGGAACTGAAGACAAAATTCAAGCCTCAACTTGAAATATTGAAGGATTCTATGGGCAAAATATTGAATGATGCAGAAATCTTCAAAAGAAGATGGAGTGAACATATACAGTTATTGTACCAAAAAGAAATGGTCAATGTGCAATCGTTTCAAGAGGCAGCATATGATCAAGAGCCAATGATACTGAAGGAAGAAGTCCAAGGTGCATTGAAGGCATTGACAAAGAACAAGGCTCAAGGAATTGATGGAATACAAATTGAAATCTTTCAACAAACTGATGCGGCTCTGGAGATACTCACTCATCTATACCAAGACATTTTGAAGAGAGCTACCTGGACAACTGATTGGAAGAGATACATATTTGTGCCCATTCCCAAGAGCGGTAATCCAACATAATGCAGAAATCATTGGACAATATCATTAAAATCACATGCAAGAAAAATTTTCCTAAAGATAGTTCAAAGACAGCTGCAGCTGTACATTGACAGGGAACTGCCAAACGTTCAAGTCAGGTTCAGATGAGGACATGGAATGAGGGGTGTGGTTGCTGAAGTCAGATGGATCTTGGTTGAAAGCAGAAAATACCAGAAAGATGCTTATATGTGTTTTATTGATGCAAATGCCTTCAATTGTGTGGATCATGACAAGCTATGGACAACATTGTGGAGAGTGAGCATTCTGGAACAGTTAATTGTGCTTATGAGGAACCCGTACATAAACCAAGAAGCAGTTGTTTGAACAGAACAAGGGAACACTGAATGATTTAATATTAGGAAAGGTGTGTGCCATATTTATTCAATCTGTATGCTGAGCAAATAATTTGAGAAGCTGGACTATAGGAAGAAAAACATGGCATCAGGGTTGGAGGAAGACTTATTAACAACCTGCAATATGCAGATGATACAACCTTTCTTGTTGAAAGTGAAGAAAACTTAAAATACTTACTGATGAAGATCAAAGATCACAGCCTTCAGTATGGGTTGCACCTCAGTCTTAAGAAAACAAAAGTCCTCGTCACTGAACCAATAAATACATCAAGATAAATGGAGAAAATATTGAAATTTCCCCATTTTGCTCAGATCAACCATCAACATTCATGGAAGTGATAGTCAAGAAATCAAATGATGTATTTTGCATGAGGTAAATCTGCTGCACAAGAGCTCTTTAAATTGTTCAAGTGCAAAAATGTCAGTTTGATGACTAAGGTATGCTGGATCCAAGCCTTGGTATTTTCAGTAACTTCATATGCATGTGTAAGTTAGACAATGAATAAAGAAGACCATAGAAGAATTGATGCATTGGAGTTATGGTATTGGAGGAGAATATTGAAAATACCATGGTCCACCAAAAGAGCAAACAAATCTGTTGGAAGAGGTACAGTGAGAATACTCCCTGGAGACCAGGATGGCCAGATTTCATCTTTCATATTTCAGACATATTATCAGGAGGGAACAGTCCTTGGGGAAGGACATCTTGCTTTGTAAAGTGGAGGGCCAGCTAAGAAGAGGAAGACTCCCGATGAGATGGACTGGCACAGTAGCAGCAGCATTGGGCTCAAGCATAGCAAGGATTGTGAGGTTGGAGCAGAACCAGGCAGTGTTTCATTCTGTTGTGCAATAAGGTCTCTATGAGTCGGTACCTACTAGATAGCACGTAACAACAATATTTGGTCAAACATTGAATTAACTCATTCCTAATGTGATGGTGTGGCACTGTGGGTTAATGCACCAGACTGCAAAGTTGTTTGAATTGCAAGGTTGGCGGTTCAAGCTCACCCGCCACGCCGTCCCCTTCCCTCCCCTCGGGGGGGCCGGGGGGGCTCCGGCGGGTGTCGGGGCTGGGCGGGCGGGGCCGGGGGTGGGGTCGGCGGGGGACC